GTGGGCACCTGGCATTCAGCCAGGGTCAAGCTACCACATCTGCACTCTGATTTTTCTCTCTTGAAAGGCAAAACTTATAACGGGATATAATATAGCAAGTGGAACAGAAAGATCAGTTCATATGTCAATGGACAATAGTCCTTTCTCTACACAGTGGTATGGTATTTGTCTTTGTTGCCACAAAATACTGTTGACATACAAGGCACTATATAGCTCCTACATCCTCTTCTACAGATGTGTTAGCTGGATAGTTATCCCCAGATATTTATGTGGCTGATTATTCCTGCCTAGGTACAGCACTCTACATACTACTGAAGAAAATTTTTAAAGCTACATCTCTAATTTTTATAAGAAACTCTGAATTCTAATCTTGTCTTCTAACATACTCAATCCTTCCCAGCCTGCTATCTACCAACCTAAGAAATAAAATCTATTCCATCAGAAGGCCTTTAATACAATCTCTCTTTCATTTTGAATGTGAAACAGTAAATCTTCATCTCTAAATAAGGCTTTCAAAACAGCTATGCACTTATCATGCAGTTTGTTTATATAAATATGCTGATGAGAATGTTATGAGAGACAGCGTCACAAGCCTTACTGAACACAATGTATAATATTAGTGCTTCTCCTCTATCCACAAAGCTTGTTACACTGCTACAGGAGTAAATTGGATGGATTCGATAGAATTTGGTCTTAAGACACCATGTTAGCTATTACTCATCTTTTTATGTACATCAACAACTTACACAGTTTTAGCTCTGTTAACACAGTCTATGGTCATCAAAGAACTCAAATATAATTATAAACCAAGTTTGGTTAAAGTAAGTCTCAAGACTTCAAGTGATTTCCTATTCCACCTCAGAGAATAATTTGTTCATTTAAATTAATGGGTGGTAGAGTCTTTCCTCCTACACTGCATCTCCCTCCTTTACTGGAGTTGGTGACATTCTGTCTGCCAGAGGTAGTGATAAAGGAACGATTTAGAACAAAGTAGCAAGGGCTGAGTGTTGAACTGGTGAAGTACAAGGATAGGGTGAAAATATTACAAGTATAAAAAACCGAAAAATACATTTCAATTTATAAAAAAAAGAATTTGGAATTATTTAAAATGACATTGCCAACCTTCAACTAATGAAAATGCATTTCATTAATCTCTCCTTTTCACATTGTCATCAGCTTTTTCATTACATTGGCATACTCCTAGTGCACCATCATGCCAGTACTTGTATGGTGTAACTTATTGCTTCATTTATAAAATAAATAGATAAAGCAACTTCATTTCTAAAATAAAGCAAAATAGTTGCCTGTCACTATTTTAAAAAACCAAACTCACAGAAGTCATTAGTACGGTATTATGGACTTAAACAAAGGAAGGCAAATTGGAATGAAGATAGCTTCTGGGCGTAATTCCTGTAATTCCTTATTGCAGGATAATGGAATAAATGAAAATGTATGTCTGAAAAAAATACTATTTGTAAAACTATCTGCAAAACCAGACTATTAAAACAACTGCTAGTGTTTTTCAGAATGCAGAACAGTACTTCACTTGTAATGAATGCATCATTTGTTGTGATAATTCCTATCATAATATTTACGTACTCTTCTTACACTGTGATCTCCCTGAAGAATGCCTTAGCATTGTCGTAAGGAGATAAAATTCCCAAGCCTGCCCAGCATATGACAGGGGCACAAAGGAACTAATTACAGCTTCCTGATCCTAGAGGGCTGACTTACAGTGTCTCTAACCCTTAGGGTCTTTAGAAGAGGCTACAGTTTTCTCTGAAATACTCAGTCGGTAATGCTCCCTGCTTTCCCAAGCAATCAGCTTGCTAGTCAGGAAACGAAATAGTGTAAACAGATATGATTTGCTTCTGTTAACTGCTTATAAGGTTAAAGAAAAACCACAGCAGACAGCTCGGTACTACTCTGCTACTACACGCAGTGAAAACCTCTCTCTGATCTCCGTGCACTTCCAGGACTTGTTTATGCTATACATTGAAAATGTTCCAGAAGTTAGTATGTTGTTCTCTTTCACAGATACTCTTAATATACATCAAAATGTTCTTCTTACCATCCTACACTTGTGAGCTGCCTAAGAAACTTAACATCTGTTTGAAAACTCAAGTCTTAAAATACCGCTCATATTACACATTATTTCTACTGCACAATTGTCATAGCAAGCACTGTTTCACACATCATAGCGATTTTCACTCTAGACTCAATTTTCACTTCCACAACATGTCATCTATAACTCTCCACCTCTGACCTTTTACTCTCTGCTCTGTCATGAGTTTGCCCCTGTTTCTCAATATGTTCTCTTGGGTGTTTTCCTACCACCTCAAGCTCTGCATGTTCCTAGCTAAGCTTAATCTATTTCTGTTTTAAGTTTTCTGTTCCTCACTTCTCTATTGATAACAGCTCCTTTACTGGACAAGAATTATGCTTTATTTTATATTAGTAGAACACCAATGACATTGATGTTTTTCTCTCCCACCCTTAGGCTTTCCAGATCTGACACTGTGTTCAGTCAGTTATTTCACAAAGTTCTGTTTGCGCTCATCAAGTACTGATCTACACCTGCCATCTCTTGTTCTCAAAAAAAAATTTATATTATATGGTCTTTTTTCAGTTTATTCAAAATTTTGAAGGTAAACTTAATTCTTTTCTTTCATGTTCATGTATCCATTTGCTAAAACAACTTAACTGAAGTAAGTATAATTGCATACATTTTTATATATACAATCCAAACCTTCCTTGTACTTTTAAATATTTGAAAATAATTGTTTCCTCTCTAAAATACTGCACATTTTTCCTCCATTACTTTTTATTGCTAATAATATTTTACGAGATACCTGTGTTTGAGATCAAATGTTTCCTTTATGCTTTAAAAATAAGAAAAGCATAATTTGTCTTATTTATGATATCTTCTATAAGCTCCAAATTCTGGGTACCAGCCTTGAAGAACTACACTTTCAGGAAAGGAAAGCAAATCGACTGTGGCAAAATGAAATCCTAGAAGACTTCTGATTTTCTTTCGAATATGCATAGCTTTAAATAACTAAATTAAACAACTTTATCTGGCTTTCATCAGAGGAGAGCAAGGCTACTCACAACGGCATGATATACAACAGATGCTAATATACAACAAAAGACTAGCATTACATGCCTTAATGGAAGCTTAAAAGAAATACAGTTGAGAAAACCTTAAGTCTGCAGGAAACTAAACCAATAATTTATATGTATGTTCTGAAAGAGAGATAACATTCAATGTTTTATAATAATTTTACTTAACTTTTTTTTTTAAAAATACTATTGTGTGAATTTTTCTAAAAGTCTTACCTTCTTCGGAGTCCCTAATACTTGGCAAATTTTGAAGATTTCATCTACTTCACTTGTGCCTGGGAAAAGAGGTCTTAGTGTGTATAATTCAGCCATTATGCTGCCAACTGCCCACATGTCAATAGGTGAGCTATAAATAGACGATCTTAACAAAACTTCAGGAGCTCGGTACCTATGAGGATGGAAAGAAGTAGGTAAATATAAAATGGTAAGAGAAAGGTAATTAGTTAAGATAATGTATTAATTTCTTAATATACTTACCACCTGGTAGAAACATAATCTGTATAAGGTGGCTGAGATCTTAGTTCTCTAGCCAAACCAAAATCTGCTATTTTCACAAGTTCTGGCCCAATACAGAGAAGGTTTTCAGGCTTCATATCTCTATGAAAAAATCCTATAGAAGACCAGACAGAAAAGAATGGAGAATTATTGTGTCATCACTTAAACAGCAACCTCCAGTAGAGTAATCCAAAATTTACTTTGGGATGTTTTGGAAAAACACAGCTTCTTTTTTTTCCTTTTTTCTTTCTTTTTTTTTTAATTCAAAACAAATGAATGGTAACCCTCCCCCCAACAAGCACACACTTTTTCCCTCCAGTGATTATTACACCAAGTGTTCTAAAATTAACAAATGTAAACTGTCATTAACACACTAAGGAAAATGAATTCACTATTGCAGCAATATCAAATAACAAACCAATTTCAGAACGAAATCTTTTGCGAAAACTACAACTGCTTTGTCAGTTTTGGATAATGGAAAATTGAGCACCTGAAAACACTGACTTGATTTATAAAATTCCTTGAACGATTTTTAACTAGTTTATTTATCATTGTGACAACAATTTGCAGACACAGACATATAAAAGATATCAAAATTCGGCTCAGGAATGCTAATATTAGCAATGCAGGCACATAAAGTTTCTTTAATGCTTACTGTTGGCTTGAGTACCTATATACCTGGACAGCAGTTAAGTTGCTAAGCAAATCAATTCTGCAGCTTAATTGGTATACACAATTTGCTATAATATAAATCAATTTGATTGAAATTCACTTGCTATAATAAAGCATTCGATATCTGCATGCAGAAGCTGACAACCACTATAAGAAATTGGCCGAAATTATTAGTGAAATGTAAATGTTCAAATTTATCATACCCGTTATTCCCAAATACTTATGGTCAAAACAAAATATTAATATTGTAACTTAGAAATGGCAGTTTTTCTTAAATTCTAATCTTCTCATTTATTTCATGTAGAAATGAGGAAGGAAAAGAGGATGCTAATAACCAGAGAACGGTATATGATCTTGATCAAAAAGACGTAAAATGGCAGTTTCTGGGTATTTGATAATACTGAACAGAACTAATTATTTATTTGAATTCATCAACAGGCCTTGTCAGGGTACATGAAAGCCAGAGATCACTGGGAACATTGTTTCTTATTTCATTTTCAGCTAGTATTTTATTGCCTTTGAAAAGTTTTAGGGATACCAATGTGATGTGAAGGACAAGTACAAAATAAAAGAGCTGAGCAAGAGCGTAAGTTACTACTTTTTTAAATGCAAAGAAGCTTCATACCACTATTTCAGAACGCAGTTTGCAGACAGATATTAAACATGAGAATTAAAAGTTTTGTAAATGCTGTGAAACTTTTTGTTGTTGTTGTGAACACCCAGCACCTCTTATTTAGACTGTGCTTGTAATTGCTAGAAAAGTCCCATCTCTTAAGATACTTAAATCCAGGTTGTATTTGACAAGGAGACTCTTTGAATTTCTTAGTGAACAAGTTATTTAAGTATTTTTTTAGATGTAGGGTATCATACTAGTTATAGTATCTCAAGACAACAGAAACTGCCATCTGTAAAGTATCAATGTTCCTTAAATAGATCTTTTTGAGGAAACAGAAATGCATAGTATAGCACAGCATACAGGTTTCTTTAGTTTATTTGTCTGGTAACTAAGGTGGGAAAAAAGTACTGAACAGTGTATGAAAAATACCCAATGCTTTCAAAAAGAAAGAGGACTATCTGATTATAGAACAACAAGGTGTAGCTTCAGGTATGGCTAAAAATGCATCATACTTGAAGCAGATAAGAATTTTTATTAGAGATAATTAATAGCTTTTGCTAGATATTTTCATGCATGTTATTACTGTGCATTATCTTATTTTCTAAAAAAGTGCTACACAGTTAAACTGTAGTATGAAACCTACCGTGTTTATGGATAAAAGCTAGCCCTTGTAGTATCTGATACATCATGTTTCTGATGACTGACTCAGGAAACAACTTGCTTCTGTGAAGAAACAGATTAACAACTTCACATAATTAAAAAAAAAGAATGTATTTTCAGAACATATGTATTTCTTCATTTTGCACAACACATCATGAACAGATGAAAACAGATCCGTCAAGCCTTGCGCACAAAGAAAGACAGATGCAACTGGCTCTCATCTCAAAACTCACTTGCTGCCAGGCCTTAATTTCACTCTAAGTGCTGCACAGGTACTTCTCTGCAGAGAGGTTCATGGTCCTATCTTTCTGTAGAAGCTGACTGGCCAGTAGCGTGCTTGACCAGATGAACACGGAATGCACAGTAATGTAGCAAGGAAGAGAGACCGCACAGCGCAGCACTGTGGTAGGTGTGTTACCCAGTGGTACCCTTAAGGGAACCCTGACTGAGAGCAATGCTTCTCAGCTGCAGGGTAACATTGCGCTAGTATCGCTAGCGGCTATCTCAGGATGCGAACCTAAGAGCTTTGCACATCAGGAGATAAAGGTGCATGACAACATCTGAAGGAAACACACATTAAAGGCAAAAGAATTCAGCAAAGAAAAATGTTATTGAAAAGGCAGGTCCTATTCCAAAGTCCACCCTGCAAGCCTTGCTATGTACTGTTTGTCCAAGATTGCAACATCACACAGTGAGTCCATACATAGGTCTTTCTTACGAGCATGCATGCATGTACATGCAGATGACCATCCACACCTTAAGCCAAATCCATGAGCAAAAGCAGAATGAACAGTGTTTATCCAATCCTTCATACATTAAAGTGAAGGCTAATAAAGAAAAAAAAAAAAAAGTACTTGGAATTTCTCTCATGGCTCTACACACCAAAGACATGCAAACTATCGTGTTAACAACTGAACAAACTGTTATTTCCAAAAGCATTACAATACGCAATATTGTAATGCAGAGCAATGCAGAATTCTACCCTCAGGTAAGCAGGTGCAGCAACTCCTGTTCACATGAGTGGGGTTGCAAGAAGAGCCAAAACCAGAAATTCCAATGTGTTCTTCAAGAAAGCGTAAGAATCATTAAATAAAGCATGATAGCACACTATTTGTTCTGTGAAAGAGACATACCTGTCCTTCATTAACTGATAGAGATTTTCCTTCATGTATTCAAATACAAAGTAAAGGTGGTCATTTTCTCGTATGACTTCTTTCAATTTTATTACATTGGCATGATTTAGCTTCTTCAGAGACTGTAATAGAGCAAAATATGGCTTCAGATACCTCAGTGACTTTGATTCTTTATCAGAACTAAATTTTTAACACGTAAAAGTTTCTAGCACAGAATTTACAAAACGTGTCCATCTGATAATCCGTTTTTATCTTGTAATCTCTGTTTCAAAGAACAACAAAACAGCATTTTAAATTAATTTCAAAATAAAAGCAGCAATGATATTAATAGGAGTTTAAAACTTCTATTTCGAGGGATTACATCATAGCTGGAGTGAAGATTAACACAAAAACCTAATTCTCTACAGTTCTGAAGCCGTAACAGCTCTTGCTCACAGAACTCAGTAAGAAAACCCAGCATTTTTTTTGTTGTGAAACTTTCATGAACAAGGAGTCTCTTACAGGTGTTCTTTTTGGAGATATTGATTACGTGCAATCTCCAATAAGTTAAACCTAAATTATGGATACCCAACTCCTTTGTTAGGGAGTTTTGTATATACAGAAAATCAGATGCCCGAAACAGGGGATGACTTGGAATTTAAGCCCAGGATTTCAAGTGTTATTCTATCATTTGGCTAGCCAAAACTCCCAGTGCTTTCTACAAGTGCCCCAAATACAAGATATAAGGATGGGATATACACCTAGAAATCTGCCAGTAAAATGAAAGAGCAGGATGGTAAAACACAGAAACATACACACACACAAAATCAATTTCTTTATCTTCTCTCAAAGACAAGAGGCTTGCCTATGAGACATGGCCACTGCTTGAGAATAGTGGGATATTCCTCAATGCAGCAGGAGCTCCAGGAGTGCCAGCAGCCCATGGTTTTGTGGAATCTGTCACCCCCATTTAAAGAGTTCAAAGAGTCTGGCCTTATGCTTGGACATTGTAGGTGCCCTTTTCCTTCATGCAAACCTAAGCAGACACTATTTTTAAATGTGGTATGTTCACCACTTTACCTTGACTTCTCTCAGATTCATACATTCATCCCATGAATAGAACTTTCTTTTCATTCTGAAATACAAGTCCAAGATAAAGTATTTTCAGTGAACAGTACAGAATGCTTTAGAACAATTATTCGTAAGTCTTGCATAGACACAAATATGGATATTCGGTGTTGCTCAGATCTTGGGACGGGGTTGTGAATGTCATGTTATTTGCTGTGTCTCTGTAAAGTTCCAGCAGCTAGAGCAAAGTTCTAGCAGCTAGAGATTTTCATTTAAAATAAACGTATCTCCAACCAAAACTGTCCCCCCTTCAAATCCTAAACTTAAAAAAAAAAAATCACACCAAAGAATTCCAAATCCTGAAATCATGAGAATGAAAAACACTTCCCACAAAAATATTCCTTTTGCCTGAAAATAATGAAAATAATCAATTGCAGATATTTTTTTTTTTTTAGCTTAGGTTAATATTATTAACTTAGGTAACAGTACTAGGAGTATATGGAGAAACCTGAAATTCTCAGAAATTCTTAAAACAAAAGTCAGTCAATTATATTACAATTATCTTCTTGCAGTAAATCCACAAATGGAGAAAAAAAAAATCTCAGCAACATACAATTTCTGGTATTTCAACTTATGCTTTACATCCTGCTTGCAATTCTGTAGGAATACAAGAGGAACTTCCTTACTCCTCTAGAACAATTTTTGTTGTTTTGTAATAATCTTTTTAGGCAAGTATGACATCACTGATGATTATGCACAACACAATTTTATTAGATCCAAGGAGACAGCCTTTATTTACCTGACCAGATTGTTACCTGGTATTTATCATTGTAACAATATCTGAAACTTAATGCAGTATCTAAAAAGATTTGGGGGGTGGGAAGGTATTTCAAATCTGCCCATTAAGATGGGTATTCTTACAATTCATATAAATAAACAAACTGCACATTCAGTTTTGCTTTTCGTTTGGTGTTAGCCTAACAACGTTTTTAGAAGGAAGCATATTCGAACGGAAAAAAAGCAGCATGCAATTTTATAAGCCAAGATAAATCAGTAACTTATACAAACTGATGTGTATGTCTCTATTGATCTGTTAGCTGAAGTCTGACCCACGATCACCTTGTTAAGCATCTTAATTAATAAAAGTAATTTTGTTATGTCAATTTCCTTAAAAAGAAAAGGGACATTTTTTTCTATTTTACACAGATGGCAGACAACAATAAAGTTAAAAGTGAAAATCTTTAAGCTTTTGCAAGTACCTTCACTGAATTTAGATGTTACATACCTTTTGATAGCCACAAGTTCTCCTGACTCGTTGCTCTTCCCCATCAACACACTGCCATAGGTGCCATCACCTAGTTGTTTCATGATTGTGTAACGGTTCATTTTTTTTAAGATCCGGATAGCCAGAAGATTATGAAATTCTAAATGTCTTCTGTTTTATTAAAGGATTCTATGCTCTTTGATTTTCTTAGAGAAATCTTCTTCCAGGCTGTTTTACGTTGGTGAGTGTCTTCTCATAACGGAGCAGGATATTCACTAGTTTCCTCCAAATTACAGCTACTTTGAGATCCAGAGATAAAGTTTAAGAGACAGAATAACATGGTCATTCTCACATAGATCCTAAAAAAAAAAAAAAGAACAGAGAAATATGTAATTTTACAGTATTTTAGGAAAGAGACACTCTACTATTTGTATCTAACAATAACAACCTCCAGATCTGCACATGTTCTTTAAATAGAACACTTCAATATAACTAGTTCCTTTAAATCCTTCAAACCACAGAAGGTGCCTAGTCTAGGATTAGGGTTAGAGTAAGCAGGGACTGGAGAGTCAGGATTACTGTCATAATTCCCTAGAACCAGAGAAGTGTGTTTAAGGCTGGTGTCCTCTGATGGAACTCCTTATTCTTAATAGCAGGTTTCTAATCTGTAATGAAGGCAGGGCTGAAGTTTGGGAAAAAGACAGAAGAACCCAAATTTTGCACAGGGTGCTATGGTAAACCTAGGGTCTGAATGCTGTGTTTTGGATTGGTGGTGTAAGCAGGCTCACTCTGCTTACAGTTAGTGAGGAAGGGAGGTGAAGAAGCGAGATAAACGCTGGATTCTTTGCCAAGGTAAATCGAGTTGTTATAAACATACTTGGACATCTTGCTCTGAAGTTCACGGAATTTTTACTTTATAGCCACAGTTAGGATTAGGCACAGTAATGGCTGAAGAGTTAAGTTTATTGTTCAGTTTTACAAGGCCTGCGGAGAGGAGTATAGAGCTCACCTGCATTGGTATGGAAGACTGGACCTGAATTGCCATTTGGAAAAGAATTCACATTAAACAATGTTGAATCTTCATCTTTGAATATATGTCAACCTTAATTTGAATCCTGACCCAAACTTGAATCCGAACCCTCTATTTCATTATACACGATACTGCCTGTCACCAACACCTCAGGTGAGGGCCAGTTCCCATAGGTCCTATGCACAAATCCTAATTCTAACCTTAGCACCGGCTGCCTACTAGACACAATCCTAAAAACTGATGTTAAGGCACTTATGCAAACTCAGAACAGCCATCCACTTATTTATGCAGGCCTAGGAAAAATTAACAGCCAATCACTGTACCATTTACTCACCATAACTCAAACTTGCTTAAACACAAACAAACCATTGACTGCTAACAGAATTCCAGCATTATCTCTGCCTTTTGCCTCTGCTGTCAGAAAATGCAAAATAAAGCTCAAATCAACTGGCATCTACTGTCAGCCAACCTCTATAGGAGATGCAACTCTAGTCCCTATCCTTATGCCAGAATTAGCTACAGGCTGGATAAGGCTGTCCAAACTAATTAAGGAACTCAAATTCTGCTGGTAACAAGCTTCAGGCTTGTTAGATTTACAGGCCTGGCAAAATTGAACAATAAAATTGGCCACTTATGAGTGTGAATGCAGCATTCTTTAGTAGCCTGCTGTGTAAAGTAAACATCTGCCTGGACAATACACCGATGTTTCCAAGCTGTTATTACTTGAAATGCTGCTTCCTTGGAGAAGGCGTAATGCGCACCTTGTTACTCACTGTTGCTTCTGTTACCAGGGAAGAATCTTATATCACCTGTCAAGATGCCAGAAACAAGTGACCGAGTGGACACCTCAGCGTGTAATCTTTGCACCAGACAACCACCAGTTTAGCAGTAAAAAATATAAAGAAGTTTTTATCCTTCCCCCAAAAAAGCCATCACTACAGTAAAATAAGATCACTGGTTAATAGCATATTCTATAACAAAGCTAAATACCAGATTTAACAAAAAGTAACAGTCATAGACAATTCAAATTATGACTGGGTTTTAAACTGGACTTTCATATATTTAAGCCTATTGTTTTTCTCAGAATTCAGCTTTATATCTTATTCCCCAAAGTGGCTGCATGCACTCTAGTCTTTAATACCTTGAATAATGCCATTTCTTCAACAAGACTATTTGTTGACTCCAGTAATAAGCAGATGATCAAGTGTTCATGCCAAGTTAAAATACATACCAACTACTCATATCTTACAAGTTATTAATTGTTAGTTTTATATATATTATTAAAAAACCCAACCCAAACCAAAAACTTTCTGAAAGTATTCTAATACACATTTTAAAACACAGCATCTGCATCTAAAGCATCAGCAATGATAAACTGTGTATGCATTTTGTGTATAGGTATACATAGGCATATAATATGAAGTGAAGTTAAATGTAACAGGATTTGGATGCCTGCATTTCTCTGTTTCAACAAGTATCTTTGTACATTGTTTAAGACACAGTTTTCGGAGGGGATTCAGCAATATCTGCCGAAGATAACCTGAACTCCTAGACTTACATACATTAAAAATTTGGAGAACTCGCATGCATTTCATGCCCAACCTTTTGCTCTCTAACAAAGTGAACCAAAATACCAAGATGAAAACCTCTGTATTTGCAATAAACAGACCCAGATTTAAACACAAAACTCAAGTTTTGACCTTTAAGTCCTCTAATTTTGGCGCCTAAATCCTACCAGCTTTCCAAGTCGTTTTTGGAGTATAAATTACTCACATGCTTTTACAATTACTCCTTTTGTCCAGTTCTATTATTTCAGCATGTGCACTTGAAACAGCATCACATAAAGTGTTTCTTCCCTCCAGAAATCCTATGTAATGTAACACATCACAGACATAATTGTGCATTTTGTCTGTTCTGTAATATATCTTATTGCCTTATTCCTTTTCTGCTGTATACTGTAATTTTTAGGGCATGAAAACACTTAATCAAGTAAAGCACAGAAGCGTCAGCACATTCTTTCAATAGTAAAATGGAAGTCTCAAAATTGCTCTATGGAAATGCATAAAACCAGGTGCAAAAACTACGTACCCTGACAACAATATTTATGTACCATCATACATACTGCATACATTCACCACCACACCGATGCATGCTAGGCCATTCCACTAATGACTCTTGTGAAAGAGTTGTCTTGGTCCCTTGCAGTTAACAAACGAGGGAACTCTGATAGTGAGACATCATCAACTGAAAACTAACCAAATGCAGTGGAAAAAAAAGGACTGCAGGTATCTGACTCTAAGCTCTTCTCCAACTTCTTAGAGAATTCATCCTTCATACAGAAGTATCTAAAACAATTGATAAGAGTTCTGCGGACAACTAAGCTGTCAGTTTTACGGCAATGCTATGGCACGCAGTAGTCCGTAAGAAACGCTGGAGGGTGACAGAGGTTTGCTGACCAAGAAGTACAGCACTGGATCCTGCAAGGCTCTAACTGCCACGGTCCACCGATACTACAATAAATGAGGCTGCCGAGTACTTGTATTTATCAGCCTGGTGTGACATCAGGTCAGGGGCTTCTTTCGTTCTTACTGGAATTACAGAGCATGATGAGTTAGAATATAAATGCTCTAGAGATTCACATTTCCCTAGAACAGGCTTTTGCACACTTCATACTTTACGTACCCAGCTCAGGTGTGCAATTTTTCCTCTGTGGTCTCTATTTTTTTCAAATTTGCAGTACAGTTTTCTCTTTTGTGCTAACCCAGGGAAAAGCAAGGGCTCAATCTAGCTTTTCTGGTTAATGCAAGCCTCTGAAGTGGCCTTTCCCATCCTAAAGCTTATATGATATTATTTCCTCAGTGATATGAAGCTCTAAAATGTAAAATTGTCATAATAGTCAGCTACCAAACTGAAAAGAGAAATCCTACTGTAAACAACAGCTTGTTTTATGCTCTTAATGACACACTCCCCATAATCTCTTCACACAGGATTAAGGAAGGATTAAAGCAGGGGACAAATAGAGGACAAAATACAATCGCTTGACAGAATCCAGTAATTTGTGTAAATTTAGAGAACCTGAACAAATACTAAACAATTTAAGCAAATTTCCACATTTACTATATTACTGGTGTTTTATTTTAAGCACTAGCAACAACTTTATATTATTTTAAATGTAATTCAGACATATCAAAATGTAATGAATAACAGCAAATCATCTGCATTTCTGCTGTACAAGTCTTATGCATTACCAAAAGTTTTACACTTGCATGCTAAACAGGCTACTCTCAAATTAAAATACAAACTAGCATATATGACCCGATAAAGACCTCCCACACAGATAAGCAAAACACTTACAACCCAATTTCACCAACCTGTTTAGAGTAACTGCTGAAATCACCAGAAGCGTTCACAGAGTGTGGTACTACTCTCAATCACCAAAGCTGGCAGTATTGCACAGTACAGAATGTATGCTGATACAAATTTTAAAAATTAAAAAAAAACCCCAAACAACCACAAACCAACAAACAAACTGTTGCTACAGAAACCTTCTTTGCAGCGACTGTATATTACTAAAGCTGACAGTAATCAGCTCCCATGACAGGTGGATACAGTTCTTGAGATTAACCACAAATCCATTACTCTAATCAAAGACCAGCGGTTATTTGAAAGCATAACTGCTCAGCTGCAAGCAAGAATAATATATAATAAAGAATAATAACAGTGACAATAAATGTTTGTACTTTCAAATATACTGCTTTAAACAAACTTTTAAAAAAAGTCTTTTCAAGAGTCTAATATGTTGTTTCATTTATTTGTATCAGGCATTCAGGATGGGGCATATCAAAAAGCAGGAACTCCAGTTTGCTGGAAATACTTTCCCTTGTTTTGTTCCAACCCAAAATGATCCACACCAACTTTTTCAAGATGTTTCAGCTGCCTGGATGCTGCTGCCCCACGCCAGCCAGGTTACCTCTTTCCACCCCCATGAAACCTCTTCCCGCAATGCAAGGAGCGGTACAGCGAGTCTCAGGACAGCAATGGTTTCAGTGAGACCTGCTGCCGCGCTTTCAAGTCTCCAGCCTGGGGCAGTGTCCAGAAGGAACACAGACCACTCATCTTTCAACGTCTCCGCCCCACTGTAAGTTTCAATAAATGCCCGTTTCCATGCCAATTTTAGTTTCACCCGGTGACATTCAGTTATCTCCCAAGAGAGTGCAGTTACCTCCCTTAATGTATGCTCACGGTGGAAAGGGGAGGACAAGTCTCCTCTCACTTACTCAGGCTGTGAAACTCAAGAGCGCCCGGCCTGGAAGTTTCACCCTGGTTCCGGTAAATAAAAATTC